TTGGGCTACTCTTTTACCAACGAATAGTGGGATTGACCGTCACATTATAACGCCCCCACGGCTGAAAGGGCGAGCATGTTTGGTGGGATGCGGAATCGAACCCGCGACCCTCAGATTGTGAGTCGAGCGCCTTATCCACCTGGCCATGCCGGGCACCAAAAGCAGTATTATGAAAAACTATCACATGCAAGCACTAAGTCGGAATATATGAGTTTAACACTTTTTATTATCCCATACTTGATGTGGATTTTCTTATAGAGAAGTATTCTCTATCAGGCAATCCTGGCCACTTGTCTTTTTCTTTAAGGGTTAAAAGGTAAAATTGTAAAAAAATAAATTTTCAACAACTTACCTCCTTTAAGCCTTTGAGAAGATTGGAGAGTGGCAACTGGTGGAAAATAAATCCCAGAGATTTCTGTAGTCATCCACATCTCCACCCACAGGATTTCATCCAAGGGATGTTGACAGTTAGAGAAGCTGTGATAGTGAGATGGTGAACTTGAAGGAGAAGAACAAACAGCCATATGAGCAATTTAACCCATCTGAGGAAGGACATATATATCACGAAGTAAAGACCATTTCAATTGCCTCTAAAAGAAGCTGTATTAGCAAGGTAACATCATACCTCTCACAAAGTACAAATGAAATGATCAGGGTCTGAAGGATCATACACAAAAGTGGAAAGCAGGATTATTGGAGAAAACATTCAATTGCCCTCCTAGGCATCCGAAGTACTTGAAAAGAAGAAACAGTTTGGGAATAAAGTCAACCTATTGGCATGAAAAAATAGTGCAGGAGACATCTATAGCCAAAATATGTGAGAGACTTTACTGCAAGATAAAGAAAGACAATACGTCTTAAGAGAAAGATGATAAAGGGAAAAAGTGGCCAAAAGGTTTGAACAGAGGACTTGTGAGAGCTCTGAACACTAAACAGAGGTTCCAGTCTGGAAAGGGAACTGGACAAGGAGGATGATTGATTAGAAAGGTCTTGATGAGGCCTGAAAGAGCTGAAAAAAAAAAAAAGGATGAATGATCAGAAAAAAAAAAGACAGAATGTTATTGACAATTCCACTCTGTATGCAGCAATTGTAGAAACAGAAAGTCCACTATGGAAAAGCCAGGTAAAAAAGGAATTAAGATAAAGAAAAGTTGGATGACCTGAAGGATGGAAATAAGGCATGAGCCAGCATCAATAAACCATCTACAATGTGATGATAAACTTCAAAGGTGGATGGTCTACAAAAGTGAGCAAGAAAATGTGCAACTCTACAAGAAACCCTGTCTTGCAAGGAACCAGACAAAAGCTACATATGAAGATGAAGGCATTACACATTATCGTGGAAGATGGACAACCAAGGCTGATGTAAGATGGACTTCCAAGAAGAAATGAGTAGAGATTCCTGGA